CCTGAGTCCATCTGCCACTCTCCACCTATGTCTGCTCACATCTATGTCACATATCTAGCACACATATGACCACTAGCATTTCTACTCATATCCTAGTTTATGTTTCTATTTGTTGTTGCTGTTAATTGCCATCGAGTCTGTTCCAACCCATAGAGACCATCTAGAGGGTTTCCAAAGAGCGACTGGTGAGCTTGAACCACCGACCTTGTGGTTCAAACTGACTGTGCTGCCTAGCACTTTAACCAACAGTGCCACATTTAGGTATGTCTTAATTTTATAGTGCTAGTATACCAGAATATTGAAAGTGCCATGGGCTCCTTAGGGACCAAGATGGCCAAACTTCATCTCTCACACTTGGGACATATTATCAGGAGGAACGAGTCACTGAAAAATGATATCATGTTGGGTAAGATGGGGAGGGTTAGAGACAATAGGAAGACCCCCAACAAGATTATCTTTAGTGTGGCAACAGTAGTGAAATTGACCAAGGATCGGACAGTGTTCATTCTGCTGTGCATAATGTCGCTATGGGTTGGTACCAATTTTATGGCACCTAACAACAACTATACCAAAAATACTACAAGGAGATGCCTTTAACAAACAGAAATGTATCCTCTCACAATTCAGAAAGTCAGAAGTCCCAATTTAGTGTACCTGCTCTGGAGAAAAGTTCTTGCCTCCTTTCAGTATCTGTATGTTCAGCATTTATTTGAGACCTCCATGTGTTTCAGCCTCAAGTCTTTCCTGGATGTAAGTATTTCACAATTTAGAACCCAAGGTCCAAAGGACCTCACCTGGCCCCTATTTCTTATTGGTAGTAGGTCCTATTTCTCTGTTTATGTCTTTCTCTGTTTATTTTAGGCCATAATTCTGGGAAATTCATTATACTTGATCATGGTTATAATAGGATTAAGGATATTTCAGCCTATCCTTAATCCACTTTGTTGTTTGTACCATGAGGGATCATCACATAACTGACACACTACATCATTACGTAATGGGCACAAATATGAATCTCTTCTAGTTAGTTGGAAGGGCAGATGTTTTTCAAGTTTGTGACACATATGAATGAGTACTTCAGGCACTGCATCAGTGTATTGAGACATTTCAATTCATATTCCGTCATTTCCTGGGGACTTCTTTTTTTCAATAGTGATTTTAGTGCAGATTGGACATCTTCCTTTAACAACATTGTACATTAGTTACATTGAATGTAGTGTGTCAATAATTACTACCTTTAAACTGAATAAAATCCATATTTGTGTTCCCAACGGAATTTGGAAATCATTGAATAATATCATTAATATCACATTCAAATAAAATTTTCTTAGAATAATTCTAAAATGTCTGAAGCAGTACACTTACATGGAGCTCTCAGAAGTTCAGGCAGGATTCAAATGGGTATATGGTAGGAAGACAACATTGCAGAGAATGTCTTTTCTGGAGCACTTCTGAAAACACCAAGAGGCAGCTGTTCAAGCTGTTCAACAGAACAAGGAGTCACCAAATGGTTTTAAATCTGGAAAGTTATGTGCCAAGTTTGTATTCTTTCACCATACTTATTGTATTTGTATGTTCAGCAAAAAATCTGAGAAGCTGAATTATATGAAAAAGGTCTTGAAATCAGGATTGTAGAAAGACTCGTTAAAATATGCAGATGATAGAATCTTGTTTAATGAAAATTGAGAGGGCTTAAAATACTGACTGATGAAGACCACAGTCTTCTGTAGGGTTGTATCTCAATATAAAGAAAACAAAAATCCTCACCACTAGACGAATAAACAACATACATGTACATGCAGAAAAGTTTACCTAAGTCATGATACTTTTAATAACCTCATATGTATGCAAAAATTGAGCAGTGAATTACAAATGCAGTAGAAGAATTCATGAATTTGAGTTATGGTGTTGGAGGAGAATATTAAAAGTGTCATGGACTGCCAAAAGAACAAACCGATCTGTGTTGGAAGAAGTACAGCAAAAATGCTCCTTAAAACCCATTATAAGACTTCCTCTGTCATACTTTGGGCATATTAGCAAGAAAGATCTGGCCCTGGAGAAAGGACAACCCATACCAAAGTTTCCTCACAACTGGAGCAATAAATAGTACCAAGCAAGATAAATAGGGAAAATATTGAATTTGTCAAAGACTTCATGTTGGTCAGATCAGCCATCAACACTCATGGAAACAGCAGTCAAGAAATTGAAGGATGTATTGGATTAGGCCAATTTGACTATCAAGCCTCTTTAAAGTGTTCAAGAGAAAAGATGTCAGTTTGAGAACTAAGGAGGACCCATGGTATTTTCAATAACCTAATATACATGTTATTGAGCGGCAGCGAGATCTTGGAGCGGCAACATTCGGAGTCCTGGTGTGGTGCTGTGGGTTAATGCGCCAGACTCCAAGGCTGTTTAACTGCAAGGAGCTGAAACCCTCATCTCTCTTATGCGAAAGGCCTAATTGATTTGAGCTGCTGACTGCGGGGTTTGCAGCCAGATTTTTAAGCGCTACACTACCAGGCCTTTCACCTTCAAGATGGCAGATCGGGTAGATGTGTAGTGAGGAGCTCAGTCAACAACAACACAGAATACTGGGCCACAAGGCTGTTTACCTGCAAGGAGCGGAAAGCCTCATCTCTCTCACGTGGAGGGCTTGTTGGATTTGAGCTGCTGACCGTGGGGTTCGCAGCCAAATTTTTAACCACTACACTACCAGGTCTTCCACCTTCAAGATGGCAGATTGGGTAGATGTGTAGTGAGGAGCTCGGTCAACAACAACATGGAATACCAGGCCAAGAGGACTCATGAGATGGTGTTGGAACTCTGTAACAAATATAAAGGTATCTTTGCAGGTTCGGAGGGTTTATAGCTGGGGAATTTGCAGGAGAATCCAGAAATCCATTATTTTCTGGATGAAGACACTCAGCTGTTCCAGGAGCTGCCATCTTGGGAGAGCTTATCTTGATTGTACCATGATTGATAGGATTAGGAGAGAACATTTTAATTGTATCTTGATTATATCAGGATTGTATCAAGATTGACATCGAAATTTTAAGAGATAGTATAGACATAAAACCAAATGGCCACCACTCATCTGGCTGTCGTGCTGTGGTGGTTTGAGTTGCTATGATTCTGAGGGCTATGCAACTGGTATTTTTAAAAACCAGCAGGGTCACCCATGGTGGACAGGTTTCAGATGAGCTACAAAAAAAAGACAGACTAGGAAGAAAGAGTGACAAACTACTTCCGAATCGCTAGTCACTGAAAACTCTATGAATAGCAGAGAAACATTGTCAGTTAT